ATTGGATCTTAGTATTTTTTTTAAGGAACATTTAGCTATTGTTTTATCTTATATTTGACATCATTAAGTTATTTGTTTGTTTTGAGAAACTCTTTCTATTAAAGAAAACCTATGTCAAAAGATAGTATTTTTTTCATGTGTCTATATTTTTTATATTTTCCTCTCTTTAATATTTGTCGTATTTTTATTAAAAATATATAATTATGTTACAATTCACATTACACATTAGGTAAATAAGTATCAAACTAGATATGTAAAATATTTGAAGAGGTTGGAAAAATCATGAGTTTTAAAGGGTCAAATTGTGTGCTTCTTTTTGGAATTTGGGTTTCATTTAACTTGTAGCTTTATTGATTGAAAACTTGTTATTATCATAACCTAATTTTTAAATTTTTTTAAGATAAATAATATCTATTAAAAATAAATAAAAATGAAAATGAATGAATCAAAAATAATTTGGGAATTGAGTTAAGATAATAAGAATGGAATTATGAATTTGGGAGCCAATTTAGTCAAAAATTAGAAGAATTAATAAGTTTATGGACTTAATTAAAATTTGGTTTATTTAATTAATGCAATCAAGGGCTTAATTGAAGAAATATCAAAGTTTGGGGATGATTTGGGTTGAAAATGCAAGAAATTAAAATCCAAGGACCAAAGTGCATAGGTAGTGATACTATAGGGGCTTAATTGATTTTGCCAGGGGTAATTTTGAAAGGCTTAAAAGTTGAAGACTTTTAATTAAACTTTGATTTATTTAATTAATGCAATCAAGGGTTTAATTGAAGAAATACCAAAGTTTGGGACTGATTTGGATCGAAAATGCAAGAAATTAAAGTTCAAGGACCAAAGTGCATAGATAGTGATACCATAGGGGGGTTATTTGATTTTCCACGGGTAATTTTGAAAGAATTAAAAATTGAAGAGCTAATGAAGCTTGATTGATTAAATTGGAAACCAAGGACTGTTTGGTAAATGGCTCTGAAATACAGGGGTTCGATTGCAATAATGGATCCAGGGTAAAATAAAAAACAAAATTTCCGTGAGGACCAATTGCTAAATGTCAGACGTTTACGGGCAAATTGGAAATCTGCATTTCACGTGAAAACGGCGCCGTTTCAAGACAAACCATTCATCGACCAGAAGAGAAGCGCACAAAAAAAAAAAAAGCAGAGGAGAAGAAAGTAGCTTTGGCTAGCCAGAACACCTTCGCCACCATCTCGTCCCCAAGCGTTCCAGCACCAGGTAAGCTGCGTTTTCCCTCCCCTCACATTTTAATTACCTTGTTGCTGTTCACGCGCGCCTGCAGATAAAAAACATACGGGGTTACTGGTTTGGGCCAGTTGGCCAGTAACCGGTTAGCCTGCTGGATCGCAGTGTTGTGGCTTCGTGGTTGTTGGGGTGGCTCTTCTTTCTTTGAACCTTGATTTAAGTTTCAGTGAAAGTGGAGCCGAAGGATATTTCTTTTCATGTTTTTATTGGGTTTTTCTGTTCGATCTCTATGGTATGTTATCTGCTTTCTAGATTTATAGGATATTCAGTGGATTATAATATTAATTATGGTACATCTAAATTAGCCAAACATTTAAATTAATAAAAAAAATCCTTGTAATGCCTAGTAGTGCCGTGGAATACAATAAATAGTCCCCTCAAGCTGATCGAGAAAACGAACTTGAAGGTGATTGAGAAAATCAAAGAGAGATATCCATTAATAATAATAACCTTAAGGCTACACCCACAAGTAACCGATTGAAGCAACATTTTATTCTTAACTTCGTTTTAGATAAGTAACCGATTGAAGCAACATTTTATTCTTAACTTCGTTTTAGATAAGTAACCGATTGAAGCAACATTTTATTCTTAACTTCGTTTTAGATTGGTAAGTGATGTTTTAAAATATAATTTATATTATTGTATAATATATTTTTTAAAATAAAAAATTTAAAGTTTAAAATTTATAAAATTTATATTTTTAATTTTTATAAAATAAATAAAAATATTAAAATTTTTATGATCGCTTGATCATTAAGATTTTGATATTATATAAAAAAATTATTTTAATATAATAATTTAAACTATTAAATAAAATTTTAAAATATAATTTATATTATTCTTTAATATAAAACTATCATTTAACAGAGCACAACTTCATAAATAACACGAAATTAAACAACCAAACATTATGTAACACTCATATATAGTGATTAATGGTAGAGGTTCAAACCAACTATAAAAAGGAAAAACCTCTATGCCACTTTAGTCTCCAATATGAATCCAGCCGAGCTTTTTTCCTTTTTCTTAAGACCGACCATTTTCCCCCACGGTAGGCAAGGGACAAGAAACGGTGTTCGAGCTTTCCTGGTTTTCTTGAGAATGTTGAATGTAGAGCCCATAAATGAGATGTACAGACGAAATTGCATTATTGCAAATACTAAGACAGGAAGGAATGCAGCAATGGAAAGGAGTAATGTTGTCAACTTTTTCTCTGACTGAATGAGTATCAAGATTGTGGCCCCAAAAGATAGCATGGTCGTTATCACAGCAAAGAAGAGGAATGTGAAGCCAGCAACAAGTTTCCGAGGAAGAGAGATGTGAAATTCTTGTTGCTCAAATGGAGAGGTCAACAAAGACAGAAATACCACAAGCGAAGTCAAGGAGCTTGCTAAGGAAACAACATCCGAGATAGTGAAAACCACAAAATAGGGAGAGTTGATGAAGTTGGGCGTGCCATTCTTATCAGAACCTCCGGGCACAGTATAGGCAGCAGCAAAGACAACAGTAGCAACAAGTGCAGCTACTGTGGAACAAGACTGAGTCGTTTCCTTTATCCATTTTTGTGCATTTTTCAGTTGGTCCTGGTGACTCTCTTTGAAGAGCTCTTCTGCAGTCTTGCCTTCATCGTTCCGAAGCGTGACATAATGAGAAGGAATTACCTTTTGCACTTGCTGCAATAATCGGGAGATAAATATGATTGTTATATAAATGGAGTTTGTAAATAAAACAACGTATTATTTAATTCAGTATAATTTTTAATACTATTTAAGTTGTTGGTTCGGGTGACAAGGAGAACTAGATCAGCCTGATGTCTTAATTAGGTGACATGTCTACCTTTCATTAGCATTAAAATCAATTTTTTACAGTTTAACGGTTTTTCTATAACCTTAATTGGATTGGATAACATGGTTGAAACATATTTTTTAACAGGATTTGTGCTCTTATACACCAAATGGATAATCTAGTATCAAGTCTATGAATAAATTTTATCCGGAGGTAAAGACAAAGGGATAAAAAGGGCTCACCTCAAACCATCGCAACTCCTCCTGAAGTTTAAGTGCAGGCCCAGGCTTGGTTCCTCCTCTGTAATGCTCCATATCTGCAACATGGTGCAACAATGTGTTGCCCGTATTATCAATAACTCGTCGCAGTCTAGCCAATGGTATTTTCTGATGCTTCACAAGTTTGAAGATCTTTTTCTGGCGATGGATGACGGCCACATCCACAATGCTCTGACCCTTGTCATTGAGCTTCTCAACAGCATGGGGATATAGTTTTATTATCTCCCACACAATCTCTTCTATTCCATTTCTAGCTGCAATCAACAATGGGACTTCTTCTATTTCTATTTTTTCTATTTCTATTGCTTTGCTAGTGATTTCAGAAGTGTGCCCCAAATAAGAGAGCTCGTTCTCTCCCTTTTTAATTGCCCCCCCGCCCATTCCCTGCTCTGCTTCTTTTCCTTTATTTTGTTCTCCTTGCATAACTGTTGATGAGGGTGGACCAGTTTGTTTTACTTCTTGTCCTTCCTCTGTTATGCTGATGCTCCTCCATGACTCATCTTTCTTTATTAGGATTTTGACAAGTCGTAAAGCGAATACATTCGTTCTTTTCTGGTTCCAGAATCTTTCTAGCCTTGCTGGCCAATATCCTACATCATGTTCATGTGAAAAGGGAACGAAATTAAACATGGATGAGAGCTAGCCATTTTTATGAAGTAGAAAGAAATGTTCATAATGATAATAAAATGTGAAAAGGTAGAGACATGCTAAAATTAGTTGAAGCACAATTAATTATCATATAGAAAACAAAACAACAGCAACATCTAAGTCATGCCGTTTGTCAATATTTATTGGATTTCTTACCAAAATATTTATTGACAAAAGAAACAAAATCTTGTATCGGTTACCCTCCAACAAAATGGATTTCACCCACTTTTGAAGCGCACTCCTTAAGCCTCGAATCTCAAGTTGCTGTTGTTAATATTCTATATGATAATCACCAAAATATCCAACGATTAGATCTCCAAACTAAAAATTTATCGAATTAAGTACCTGACTTATTAATTAAACTTTTTCTTAACTAAATCTTTCTATCCACATCCATTAAATGGTTTTAATCGCAACAAAAACCCAATTAATTAACCTCTTGATTGTTAAGTTATTGAAGATATAACATCAAATCCCATTTATCGAGCCTAAGGATTATGCAAGTAAAAAAAATCATTTCAATGTAAAAATTAAACTATTAAATCAGATTTAATTTCATGAATTTTTTTATTTAAACTCACCAATACACTTTTTCGTACGGAAGCGATAATTATGAGATGTAGCTCAATTAGTATTAGAACCACCAATCTCGCATAAATAAATAATATGAATAAATCATCCACCATGATATTTAAATCTTTTCAATGAAATATAAAAATAATTATCAATTAAGTTTAATATAGTGGATGATCGATCAAGTGAAGATCATAAAATCCAATTCGAATCACAAACCTCAAAAATAGATTACAATTCGAGTCAGAACCACCAATCTCACATTATACACGACTTGAGTCTTTTGAATCAAAGTCAATTATCTAATTCAATAAAAATATACACATCTTTAAGAAATTCCTTTAATTTTTTAAACTGTTAATTTTTTTGTTGAGATTTTTAATTAAATTGAAAAAAAAATGCTTGGATGATAGAATTTAAACTCATGATTGTTTATCATTTAAATTATAATATTATGTTTAAAAATATTTTAATAGAAATTTTAAGCTATTAAGTATGACAAAAGGTCACATGAAAAATAAACATATAAAAAGAGAGGGTTTGAAGAAACAGTACCTTGAGGCAAAAATCTGCAGCGTAATAGATTACTTATCATTTTTGAGTCTGCAGACGGGAAATATAACACTTGTAAAATTTGGAGGAAGGAACATACAAGTTTGTTGGATTTAAATCTTCGTTTAAAAAAAACAAGAAGAAAGAAAGCGAATAGAGACTGGCTACATGATTCAAATATTTGGTCAAGCCATGAAATTGAAAATTCTTATGATTCCTGAATTTCAACATGAATGAAATGTATTCAAAATTCAAAATTGAGAAGTATAGAGGTTGTGTCCAATACCTTTGGGGTCCTTTAAATAGTTGAGTAGGTTACTGCGCAGGGTACCGCTCTCAAGATCTTGCATTGCCCTGCACCAAGTTTGTACCTGTGATTTTACCTCGTGATGACGTATAACAGGAAGGCCTGCAACATAATTTAGAGTTCAAATTATGTGTGTGTATATGTATATGTGTATGTGTATGTGTATGTGTATGTATGTATTTGTATATGTCCATGGTATTCGATCAAGAAATATGCATGTAGGCAATATTGCAAGCTATAATAATGTGGTTGGAGTAGGCATACAACTGTAGATGAGTCTTTCACATATGCCCATGTGATAGCTACTCTCAAAACCAGTTGGCATTTCGGCTAGAGTTGCAGGGCCGTTCTGCCCATTTTGTTCTCCAAGTTGTGGAGCGATTCATCCAGTTCTAGCAGCAGTAAAGCTGTTTCTGCATTCATGAAATTAGGAATAGAATAATTATACAATGTCTTATGTATATATGTGTATACTTATTAAAATTGAGAATTATATAAAGAGAGGAATAACTATTACCAAAGTGTTGCCCTATGATAGCAGCGCCGAGGATGGACAGGCCATCCTTCGATCGCTGGCGGTGAATTGATAATATGCGGCCATTACAATCCACGCATTCTTCTGGTTTGGTCTTTATTAAAAACTCCACTATTTCTGCCTCACCAAATCCAGCAGCTGTATACAGTGGGGTTTCACCGTACTTATTAGTAATGGAAATTAGGTCTGGACAACATTCTACCAAGAATCTTACAGCCTCATAATTCCCATAGATGGTTGCCTCGTGAAGAACCGTATTTCCAAACTTGTTTCGTGTCTCCGGTAAAAAGAATTCTCTTCCCTCCGTGATTTCAAGTAAATCTTTAAGTGGTCGCTCTTCGTTGCTGTGAACAGCTAGATGAAATCCAGTATCCAAAGAGAGAGTAACTGGAGAGAACAAAGACTCGAAATGTTTCTGATAGTAGTCAACCATGCTTTCCCAATCTCCATTCATGGCTGCTATATAAGGTGTCTCCTGAATCATCTCAGAATCCATATTTGCTCTTCTTCCAAGAAAAGAATCCATATTTGCTCTCTACATAAAATTAGGTAAGTAACCATTGTTAATGAACAATCTCAACTCGAAGCTAATTAAATTGTTGGGTGAAATCATGTTTAGTACTGTTATGTTTTGTAGTGTACATGATACTTTGTTTGTTGTTTTCTTTCTCTCTTTGTAGAGTCACTATTTTACTGGCTATAAGACATATTAATGAAGTTCTTGACTTGGAAAACAAAATTAGGAAGAAAGCAGTAAGCACTGAAAGAGAACCGTAAGTATATCAAACCTTTTAGTAATGGAAATGGTCGAAATGCTCCTCTACCTAGCTCTTGCTAAAATCAATGTCAACAAGAAAACTTGTTTTGGGAGAGATGACATAAAGACACAACCTAGCTTGTAGTTTGAGAACCCTTTCTGTACAATCGTTTAAAGAATGGTTCCATGTTAAAAAGAAAAAGGTAAGTTAGGATCTGTGCGTTGCTTGTTTAGTTTATAAAGTGAAACTATTATGAGAATATAATTAATGAAGCTAAATTTCTATTTACTTCTTTTATAAAAATCTAACGGAATCTAATATATTAATTTCTAATATATCCCTCTTTACTTTATTTGCTTAGTCATTAAAAAACTTAAGCCTTGTAAAGTTTTATATTAAATTAAATAGCTGAAAAACTCAAGTCTTGTAATGTGTGGTCCATTGAATAATTTTTTTTTATATTCCTTTATATTTTTTATATTCAATCAATATGGGATATGATTGCGAACATATGATACTCTAAAATTATATAATTTTATATTAACTTTCTAAAAATCATATATGATTCACATTCTTGCTTCTAAAATAGGCAAGCAAAAAAGAAAAAAGTAAATTATTACTTGTTCTCTCCTTTTCTTTTGGAATAATCCTACTTTAATTGTTCTCAACTGCAGCAACAAGGAAAGTTACATTGAAAGACAAGACAGAAATAGAAAGAGATGTTGGCTTATTATAAAAGTAAATCAGATAAGAATTAGGCTATTTAATGTATCCAATATGCTACACACTCTCTATTTATTAATAGATCGATGCAAGTTTGTATAAAACTAGGTTTAAAGAATTGAATCCATTGCTTCAAATAAGAATTAGCTTTAGTATGCCAAATTATAATCTATATTATTCCATGTATAAAAACTCCTTGCATTATGATAAAATATTGTCCAATCCTTTTATCAATCCTTTCCACTAATGAAACAAATCATCCAAAAAATGAGTTAGACATTATGATAAAATATTTTTAATTGAAAAAGGTTGACTGTAAAACCTTAAATCATTATCTTAACTCAAAAACTTAAGTTTTTATATATATAATTTATATATCATCTTGTAAATGTTCCATACTATCAGCACACATGCATCTTACTTTTCTATTTCTTTTTAAATAATTAAATAATACTTTGTATTGATCTCTTAAAATGCACCTTTTTCTTTTTCTTATCAGCACACTCCTCCTTTAAAAATTATAGTAATTTAAAAATTATTCTGCTTTTTGTAGCTTAAGAACTTGTTTGATTGATTACTATAAAAATAAATATATTAAGATTAGACTTGTGTCTGAATTGTTTTTCTTAGTTCAGTATTAAAAAAATGCATTGCATTTTATAAACCATAATATTGCAGCTTGAAATCGAGATTTATATTCTTGCTTCTGAGCTAAACAAGCAGAAAGTAAATTGTTCATCTTTTTCCCTTTTTCTTTTGGAATAATCCTACTTTAACTGTTCATACATAAGTACTAAGAGTTATTTTAAAATTATTAAATGAACCTCATGTAAAAATTGAAGATTTTAAGTTGAAATAATTGATGTGCAAATGATAAAGGGGGTAAATTGTGAATCTTATAAACAAATGATTGGTTTAAAATGGAAAGAGATTTTTCTATCAGCTTGTCCGAAAATTGCTACACTATTTTGGTCTACGTTTGATAGAATGAGGATCCATGTTATAAATAGAGAGCAATAAAGCTAGCTCCATTAGATGATAAAAGATTTCTACCTTTGACCCATTAATTTAGCTAGCCTACATCTGCAGATTTTTCTTTCTTTTATAATAATCGAAATTTTATAAATAAAACATAGTCTTTACATAGAGAGAAATGGAAAAGTCATATATAAAACAATTAAACCAAAAGATATTCAGCAGTTGTTAATTTGTCCAGCATCAGATATTTCTATCGGACTCCTGTAAAGATCCATCCCTGTATAGGAGAAATTACTGTCCACAGTGTGCAACAATACTGCTAGGTGGTGAAGGATTAGTGTAAACACTGCATTCCAATCGGCTTTTTGTTCTCAAATATTAGTTTATTTCTTGATGTCCAAATGCCCCATAAAATGCCATGCGAAGGCAAAATAATTGCTTTTCGTTGGAATATCCCGGTCACCAGAGCACTCCTGAGGCATAATCCAGCTGCAGTCTAACCATTTTGTGAACTTCATCCACAGTTTCCACACATCATCACAGTGCAAGAAAAGATGAACAAGTACTTTGACCGGTGTCTATCAGATTCCTGTGGAGAAGAAACTACCGAGTGCAGACTCTATTCTGAAGCAAGATCCAAATGAATTGAACCTTCCTTGTGAGTCTGCCTCCTATACTCTAGTGTCCTTGTTATTCAAAATAAATTGAAACCCACTTAACATATGCACGTAATTCTGGAAATTGATTCAATGGATAGATGGTGGCCATTTCTTGAATTTTAATTTCCAAGAAACAGAGAAGGTTTTGGAAACAGAGTGTCAAAGATAGGGAAAGGTACAGTTACAACGGCTCAGCAGCAAGAAGTTAGATCTTAGAGCTGTCTGGCATGTGCCATGCTTGCATGTAGATGCAGAGACTAGTTGTAGAAAATATTTCAACACACCAAGTGGTGTTACAATTAGCAGACATGCTCCGCATAATATAAATTATGTACGCAGAAAAATTGTGCGATGCATAGTCCTGGGAAATGAGAAAATATTGAGGTGTTTTCTTGGGACAAGATTGGACATTGTCGGTGAAGACGGGTTAAAAATCCCTGTGTTTGGGTTGCCTGGGGAAGCTTTGGGCTTCCAAAACGCTGGGGAGGTGCCTGCCCAGTGTTGGCTCTTAGACTTGGCTTAAGAGCTGGGCATTACTACACGCCATTGGCCCAAGCATCGGACTTCCAGTGCCTGAAACCTAGGCTTGGCCCAAGCATGAGGATTTTTTTTTTTATGTGTATAAAATATGCCCCATTAGGTGCAATAAAAGTAAAAAATAAAAATCTCTCTTTTTAGGTCAGGCCTAAACTTATAGAATTATGTCCATTATTGGGACAGAAATCTGTCAGTTTAGGCTTGGTCGGATAGAAATCTGATAATTTTATAACTAGACCAGCCCAATTCCCAACCAGACAAGTGTTCTATTTTTATTTTTTTTTCCTTAAACACATGGCAATCCAAATGGACTCCCCCCTTTCTCTCGATTCTCAAAAAAAAAAAAAAACATATTTTTGAGCTCACTACACTCACAGAAAATCTCTAAATTAGCATACATGACAATGCAAAGTTACAAGTTTAAATACAATTAATATGGTGTCATACTCTTTTCAACTTGCTCGCTATCAAAGTTTAAATACAATTAATATGGTGTCATACTCTTTTCAACTTGCTCGCTATCAAAGTTTAAATACAATTAATATGGTGTCATACTCTTTTCAACTTGCTCGCTATCAATACAAGTCTATCTTTTGTACAAAGCCTAGACCAATAACATAGCGAGGCGGAACAACTAATAACAAGCATAATTTTTTTCATCAATAATATAATTATCAGCATCTTATTTTTCTCTATTTATTTACAAGCCAAATACAGAAAAAGAATAGACCACCCAAGAAAGTGAAAGACAAGAAAAAACAGAAGAGAGCGGAGGAACAGAGGGTTCAAAGCAAACCACCGTCTTCGACTTCGCCTCCCTGCACAGGTAAGTTCTTCATTTCCCTCTCCTTTGTAATTACATGGGTACTGTTCATATACAAATTTAATTCAGTCAGACCTGCAGGGAAGCCTTAACTTTCTCCTTTTCGTGCATGCACACGTCAATTAGTTTACGCGTGCTGGATCACTGGTTTAAAGCCGTGACCAAGCTGGGCTGTTGGATCTAGGCCTATCTATATAGGTTGTAGTAGATTCAGCCTCAAAAAATTAAAAAAATAGTTTTTTAATTTAAATTTTATAAATTTATTTATTAATATCAAAATCAGGTATATCATACTATTTAGATCGTATTATTTATTAATATTAAAATTAAAAATATTTATAGATGAATATTTACTTACACTCAGAAATATTATTAGAAAACCATAAAAAAATATAAATTTTTTTAATAATTTAAGATAATTAATAATGCATTATACCTTAAATATAACACTTAGAAAGTAATAATATCTTTTTTAATGTAATTAGTCATATATTTTATAATTTTTTTGACTAATTAAGTTTTCGTTGACCGATTAAGTTTTTAATGATTGTAATATAATTAAACGTGGGCTCCTTAAATGAGATTGTTTCTCCCAAGAATAAAATACAGATACTTGTTTTTTTTTCTGATAAAAAATTAATCAGTAGTTGTATATACGTGTCAATAATCAATCTTGAAAAACAATGTGTGAATTTGCACACTAGCTTATTACAGGAAAAATTCCTGGCTCATGCACGATTAACCCTTCTCCATCACCTTCACCTGTATGTCATTAAACACTCTTTCGATTTCATTTCCTTTTTCTCTCTTTACGTAGCTATATCATATAGTAGCTGTAACTTGTTGAAATATGAGTCAACTCAGTGTGTTATTGCAGGAGCCAGAAAGAGAAGCACAAACGTTTCTTGCATTGCTTAGAGATCATATGAACGGCACTGGAGATTCTTCAAGGAGAAGATTGTGAATGAGTCTTAAGGAACGGCTAGGATTAAAAGGGTTGGGTTGTTGTGGGGCCACTTGGGGTTTGAGGGCCACCACATCACCAATGATGACCTTGATCATGAACAAGAAGACATGGAGCTGGTTATGGTAAATTCGGGTCAGGAGGGTACACAGGAGAGGGTTTCTTATCCGGTTTGTTTGGATCCGACCCAACAATATTCTTCGGGTATGAACTTAGCTGCTGCTCTGGAAATAATATCATGGAGCCCACCAATGTTACTAATGATCGCCCAAGCTCTAGCACCTATCAACGTACATGATCGCCCAAGCTCAAGTTAAAGAATAAAGTATTTCTTTAAAACGAGAAAGCCAATTTCTAAGTGTCTTTGAGATACACGTACATGATCGCCAAGCTCAAGCACCTATCAAACATCTGAATAAATTGACATTTGATGGCAA